ATGTATATATTGTTGCTGTTGGATGAAATGTTCTGCATATGTCTGTTAACTCCATTGGTATAAGTATAGTTCAAGTCTAATATTTTGTTATTAATTTTTTGTCTAGTTAGTAGTTCTGTTGTTGGAAGTGGGATATTAAAATTACTTACTATTATTGTGCTGCACTTATGTATCTTTTCAGATCTCTTAATCTTTGGTTTATATTTTTAGGTGCTTCAGTGTTGGGCACATATGTATTTACAATTGTTATATTATCTTGATTCATTGATCTTTTTTTTATAATATACTGACCTTCTTTATCCCTTTTTACAGTTTTTTTTTTAACCTAAAGTTTATTTGGTGTGAAATAAATATAGCTACCCCTGCTCTCTTTTATTTGCGTGCAATATCATTTTCCATCACTTCAGTTTCAACCTGTGAGTGTCCTTTAAGGTAAGATTAGTCTTCTGTAGGTCCATATAGTTGGATCTTGTTTGGTATGTATCATGGTACTGTATGCCTTTTGACTACAGAATTTAATCCATTAACCTTTAAAGTAATTATTCATAGATGAGAACTTGCTACTTCCATTTTATTGTTTTCAAGTTGTTTTCTAGATCCTACATTTTTTTCCTTATCTCTTGTTTTCTTTATTTGGGATTTGTTTGCTTTTTGTAGTGATATATTTTGAATTTTTCAAAATATTTTGTGTATCTATTATAGACTCATACTTTGTGGTTACATAAATCATCTTATACCTATAACAAGCTATGCCGAGTTGATAATAACTTAAGTTTGATCACTTACACAAAGTCTGTACTTTTACTCTCCTCCTTCTAAATTTAATGTTTTTGGTGTAATTCTTTACCTCTTTTAATCATATGTATACTTAACAAATTATTGTAGCTGTAGTTGCTTTTAAGAATTTTGCCTTTTAACCCTTATACTAGAGAAATCCTTGATGTGTTTGCCATCATTATAATTTTGGAATGTTTTGGATTTGAAAAATGCCATTAATTTTACCAGTGCATTTTATACCTTCACATGTTTTCATGTTTCTATTTTACATTTTGCATTATTTTCCTTCAGCTTGAAGAACTCCCTTTAGCATTTCTTATAACGCAGGTATAATGGTGACAAACTCAGCCTTTGTTTCTCTGAGAGAGTCTTTAACACCCTTCATTATTTAAAGACAGGTTTGCTAGGTATACTATTCTTGATTGGCAGGTTTTTTCTTTCAGAATTTTGAATATATTATCCTACTCCCTTGAGCTTTCAAGGTTAATGCTGAGAATTTTGCTGATAGTTTTATCAGAGTTCTCTTAAATGTGACAATTCAGTTCTCCCTTACTGCTTTCCATACTCTACCTTTAAGTTTTGACAGTTTTGTTATGATGTGCCTTGATGTGGGTTTCTTTTCCTTTTTTAAATTTTAGATTCAAGGGGTACATGTGCAGATTTGCTGCAGGGACATAATGTGTGGTGTTGTGCTTCTGTTGATCCCACCACTCAGATAGTGAACATAGTATCTAATAGGAAGTGTTTTTTTTTTTAGCTCTTGGACCCTTCCTTTTCCCTTTTTGGAGCACACGGTGTCAATTGTTTCTGTATTTATGTCTGTGTGTACCTAATGTTTAGCTCCTACTTATGTGAAAGAACGTGCAATATTTGTTTTTCTGTTTCTGTGTTAATTTGCATAGGATAATACCTTCCAGTAGCCTATCCATGTTGCTGAAAAAGACATGATTTTGTTCTGTTTTATGGCTTCACAGTATTTCCTGATATATAGGTACTTGGTGTGGATTTATCTGGATTCATTTTATTTGGTATTCTTTGGGATTCCTGTATCTGGCTTTCTATTTTCTTCCCCAGTACTGGGAAATTTTCTGCCATTATATTTTGAATATGTTCTGTGCTTGTCTCTCTCTCCTCCTTCTAAACACCTATAATGTGTATATTGCTCTGATTGAGGGTGTCAGTATGTCTCTTAAGATGTATTCATTCTTTTTCATTCTTTTTCCTTTTTGCTACTCAGATTGGATGATTTCCAGTGACTTGTCTTTGAGTTCATTGATGTTTTACTTCTGCTTAATCTCATTTGCGGGTGAACCTTTCTGTTGATTTTTTCAGTTTAGCTTAATATTCTTCAGCTCTAAGATTTGATACTTTTATATACTTTCCGTTTGTTAAAGTTCTCAGTTTGTTTTTGCATTTCTCTCTGAACCTTAGTGACAATCTTTATAATTATTATTTTAAATTCTCTGTTAGGTAAATTACATCTCTTTCATTCACTTGGGTCAATTTCTGAACATTTATTTTGCTCTTTATTTGAAATATATATTTCTTGTTTCTTTAGTTTCCTTGACTCTTGTGTTGTTTTCTGCACGTTGGATAAGACAGCTGCCTTTCCCAGTCTTATCAAACAGGACCTGTGTAGAAGAAAAATACCACTAGTCCATTTGACAAAAAATTTTAACGTGCTTCTCAAAGCTTTGTGTTTGTCCAGGCCACTGTTTCTGTTATTGGTGACTCCCAGGAGATTGGGATATGCCATGTCCTATCAATACTCTGTGAACTGTAAGATAGAGGCCAGACTTTCAAAATGTGGTGTGGCCAGAAATTTCTAATGCAAGTGTTAGATGTGTGGTCCAGTTCCTTCTATCCTCATGTTGAAGTTGGGTGCAGGTGTTATTTCTCCACTCTCTCTGCACGAAGCCAGGGAGAGGTTCTATGGAAACTGCCTGTATTTGTGTTCAGGCCACACTTTTTGATTCTGGGAACACAGCTTTTGGAAGTGGAGCCATTGTTTGTCTATGTCTTTGTTGTCTGCGATCTAGAGTAAGTTAGGAATGCAAAGCCCCACCACTCCCAAGCTTAGCCTGTTAAGAATTCAGTCCTTTGGGTGGGAACTATAGAGTCGTGACACTTAATTTGTGAACAAACTCTTTTCAAGAATAGGTAGACTGTAAAATAATGGAAGAAATAAATAGACCTATAGAAGTTGTGACACTTGGTGTGTGAACAAACTCTAGGATAAATAGGCTGGGGACATGCCAACTTTCTGCTTAGTCTACCTGACAGCTACTATTAGTCTGCATTGTTCGCTCCCTGATGCAAGCTGGACGTTAAGCTGTCTAGTTGTCACTGGATGAGTGTGCAGTAAGCTGCTAGAGAGAAAACAAAAAACAAACAAACAAACAAACAAAAGGAGCTGTGCATTCTAGCCCCTGTTCTATACTGCTCCCAAGAGATATTGCTCCTGGAAGGGTTTGCATGCCTGTTTAAAACCATCTCTTTGTTCTGTGATCTAGGGAGACTTGTAGATGCCTAGTCTCTTCTGCTCTTAGAGCCAGAAGTTTTGGGATATAGTATTTCTGGTAAATGCTGTAAAAGTTAGAGCATTTTGTGGGTGAACACACTCCTTCCAGAGAGAATTGGGAGAACTAGGATTATTGCCAAGTTGAGCTGGAGGAAGAGTCTCAGGAAGTGCTAAGCTGCTGCTCAGGCTGTTAGAGAGCTACTTTTTGCTTGCCCCTTTAACTCTCAGATGGTGTTAGTTAGAACCCAGACTGTCAAGTAGCCACTAGGGGAGTATGCTGTAAACCTTCCAGGGAGAAACAGGTAGTGGTACTTTTGAGTCTTGTCTCTGTGCTAATTCACAGTATTAAAGCCCCTGAAAAAGTGCTTGCACACACACATAAAACTGCCACTTTTTTCCTGTGGTCTAAATAAACTTGTGTAAGCCTAATTCTCTAACTCCCAGAGTTGGTGAATTAAAGAGCCAAACTGTTGGGCACCTTATAACTAGGGTGCTATATGTGAGGTCCCAGTCTTCTCCACAGGGAGAAGCTGAGTGTTAGTGATTTCAGTTATATGGTGAAGTACCTGGAAAGGGGTCCATGCTCAAGTATGCCTCAGATTTGTCTACCCATTTGAAGTGCATGTTTGGGTTTTGTTTATTTGGATTTTTTTTTTTTTTTTGAAACAGAGTCTCGTCCTGTTGCACAGGCTAGAGTGCAGTGGCACAATCTCAGTTCACTGCAGCCTCCGCCTCCCTGGTTCATGTGATTGTCCTGCCTCAGTCTCCTGAGTAGCTGTGACTACAGATGCGCACCACCATTCCCAGCTAATTTTTGTATTTTTGGTAGAGACGGGGTTTCATTATGTTATCCAGGCTGATCTAGAACTCCTGGACTCAAATAATCCACCAGCCTCGGCCTCCCAAAGTGCTGGGATTAAAGGCGTGAGCCACCTCGCCCGGCCATGCATGTTTTCTTGCTTGCCTGCTAGGCAGGAGTCTCTCAACTTATTTCTGACTTTCTCTCAGAGGGAATTAATTGAGATGTTCATTCTGTGCATTTGTGAGTATTGGGAGTGCCGGGAGCTTCCTGTTCTGCCATGTTGCTGACATCCGTCTAAGGAAAACAGTTTAAAGAAAGTTCATCACCAAGTAACAGTAGATACATCTGGGTATCTTAAATACAAATACTTTTCTTTCTTTCTTTCTTTCTTTCTTTCTTTCTTTCTTTCTTTCTTTCTTTCTTTCTTTCTTTCTTTCTTTCTTTCTTTCTCTCTCTCTTTCTCTCTCTCTTTCTCTCTCTTTCCTTTCTTTCTCTTTCTCTCTCTCTTTCTCTCTCTTTCTTTCTCTTTCTTTCTTTTCTCTCTTTCTCTCTCTCTCTCTCTCTCTTTCTCTCTTTCTCTTTCTTTCTTGCTTGCTTTCTTTTTTTTTTTTCTCTTTTCTTTTTTTTTGAGTTTCACTCTTGTCGCCCAGGCTGGAGTGTAATGGCACGATCTCGGCTCACTGAAACCTCCGCCTCCTGGGTTCAAGCGATTCTCCTGCCTCAGCCTCCCGAGAAACTGGGATTACAGGCATGCACCACCGTGCCCAGCTAATTTTTGTATTTTTAGTAGAGACAGAGTTTCACCATGTTGGCCAGGCTGGTCTCGAAGTCCTGAGCTCAGGTGATCCACCTGCCTCCGCCTCCCAAAGTGCCAGGATTACAGGTGTAAGCCACCGCACCTGGCTACTTTTATTTCTTATATTTTTCAAATGCTATATATGTAAGTACCAAAACTTTACAATTTAAAAACTATTTTGAAAAGGAAAAGATCATTATAACAGTTATAGATCTGTTTTCGATAGCCTTAGCAACTTATTAACAATCCTTTTATGTTACTGTTAGACATCTCCCCCATGGAATGTCCAGAGCCCCTTTCCAGTGTATCATTGAGAGAACTGGCCTTACAAAATTGTCCAATCTGGAATTCAGCAGGACCATACACTACCTCCGTTAAGTCATCTCTCTGAAAGACAATGTTGGCAGTGTCTGGCCACAATTCAAAGGTTACTACCTTCTATAAAAAAGAGGACTAAAACATTAAATGTGAATACAAATGTATAATGTTTTGAGGTGATCTGGTAAGATGTTGGTCTTCCTTCATTTAGTAATAACCTTGCTGAATCAGCAGGTACATAACGTCTTTTCACGGTGATAATTAGAATGTGCACTAGACTGTAATAGTAACATAAAATGGGAAACAGAGAGCAGAAAACGAGTTACAGTAAGGAATTTAAAGGAGTTAAGAATGCTTTTTAATAGTTCATTTTAATTATGGTCTTAGAGATGTAACAAACTTCTGAAAATCAGACCCAGCTAATAGAGTAACACAACCATCAACAAAACACAACCACGGAGACTTGCTCAATTTTAGCTGAAAGGGGAGAGCACTGTCTCAGCCAAATTGGACTGATATGATTGAGTATATTAATTTACCCAAAAAAGAAAGAATATGACATATACCTTCTTATCATGAAGAGGGATACATGTGATTTATTCTAATCCGATACCATTAAATCTTCAGACTATATAGAATGAATTATGGAACTAATCCTCTTTAAACATTTTTACCTGCCATTTTTATGTTAGCATACCTACGTTAAGATACTGGCTAGCATTTAGCTTTTTTTTTTTTTTAATAAGTAAATAAATTGGTGATATCATTAATACTTCCATTAATATGATTGTTTAAAAAATAAATAATAAATGAATCCATTCTTGATTTCCTGCTAGATTGAGGGCCAGAACTTAATACTAATCCTCTAAGGCAATCCAATCTATTTTTTGGAGCTGTTTTGGTTCTCTTGAAGACAGACAGCCTGTCTTCCCAAATGATGACATGAGCCAAAGGAATGGCTGTTTAATCATAATTTTTAACTTAATCAGTAGATTGAATGATTTTGTATATAGAGCACTGAATTGTGAGCCTTGTGTCTTGATAAATGGTGACAACCAACACCAAGTCACACAAAACAAAAGTAAGAATTCATTCCTCCTCCTTCTCAACCTGCCCATCATCTCAACTGGTCTCCAGATCCTGGAAATTTTAAATTCTGACATTTCTTGTACCTGCCATTTTCTCTTCATCATTGCTACTTTTAGTTCAGCCCTTGTCATTCTCCCCTAAACTACTGACATAGCTTCGTGACAGGCAATTTACCTTGTTTCCAAACCATCTTCCATAGCATTGCTTAAGCAATTTTTCAAAACCCAACCAGGTTACTCCCTTTTGGAACTCACCAAAAGCCTCTCTTTCTTCTGTTAGTCTTCTTGGTGAAGCATAAAAGGCCACCCATAATTAGCACTTATATTTTCCTCTTCATCCACTGAGTGTCAGTAATGTTAGTCCATCTGAAGTCCGCAGAACAAACCTCAGAGTCTTGCCTCCTTGTGGTTTCTCAGCTTCTCCCGATTTTGGCTGCCTTGTCCCTCCACTCCTGGCCACACCTCATCAGGCTGTTAGTGAGGAGTTTGATGGGCAAGTTATGGTGAGGTGATCAAGTAAACCTAATTATTATTATTATTATTATTATTATTATTATTTTATTATTTTGGTGAGGTCCTCCAATAAAAAACCGCAAGAGTATTTTTAAATTTCTCCAAAAAATACTGCATCATATCTGTTTTTATTACTCGGTGTCTGAGAACTCTGTTTACAGGTCTTTTAGCCAAGAAACTCATGACATATGTATGTATTCTTTTCAGAAATGTCAATTTTAGGTTGGCTAGATCTGAAAAGACTCCTCCAGACAGTAGCATGCTACGAAAGTTTTAAGTAGACAGATATAGTGGTAATGCAAAGGTGATTGGAGGAAGTCGAATGTCATTGAACAAAAGATTTAAACAACTTTATGTTCCAAAAAGAAATGCCCTTTAATATGAAGTGTTTTTTACTGATTTATCAGAGTTTTATTTAATATTTTTTCTTTTTTTCTCTTTTTTTATGTAGCTTAATTTGTATTCTAGTTTATCCAATTCATGCAACTAGTGTCTGTTCCTCATTTTTGTTTTTGTAGAGTCTTTGACACAAAAGTCTTTTAGTAAATATTACATGTCTTTTGCCAAGGTGTGAGGTCTAGTGCATTTAACTGTCATGAGAATGATACGTTAGCTAAAACAAAGTTTATCAAAAGCAATTACATCAATTTAGGGAATTTTGAATGGGAATTTCAGAGCCTTTGGATGCTTCAGTAGCAGCTGTGGATGTGCTTACAAAGCCCAATAAGTAGAGCTTAGGACTACTCATGAAAATTCCCACCAGAGCAGCTGTACTTTCTTCTGTTTCATTTATATATTACAACATTTTACTTGAAATGTAGAATACATTTTAAAATCAGGTACACATTATAATTAGAAACTATCAAAATTGATAATTCTATCTCTAAAATGTTCTGATTCAATAGCAGCTTTCATTTAAATGAAAGTATTATTTTCATTGACATTAAATTGGGCTTTATTAATTTGAGGTGTCTATAATTTGCTTGGGGTAAAATTGTGTTATCTCTTTACTCAACTTATTGAAATTTAGTACTTCCTGTGCTATCTTTGTCCCTAATAGAAATTACAGATATTGTTATATAACATTTTATTTGTGGAAGTTCTCTCAAATTAGGGTCTATGATAATCACTACACTGAAACGACAGTATTTTTAGACTTACTTGGATCTTGATATTTACTTCTGCAATGATAAAGCATATATATTACTTTATCACAAATTTAAAACATTTTGACAAGTATGTTTTAACATACTTAATTGCTTTATATTCTTTTAAAAATGTTTTGCCCTTAAAATATTATTCTGAGAAGGAGTCTATACACAAAGAGGACTGATGGCTCAATGAACAGGCATTCAATGGTAATACAGCCGATATTATTTTGTTTTGGATAAGCAGCCATATGACCACAGGTGCTTTCTATACCTATAAGTTATGGACCTCAGCAGCTGTACTTGTTTGGCAAAGATTAGCACTAGTCACTGAGTCTTACATTCAGGATCTGTGTATCACTGCACTCTAGAAAATCATAATTATATCACCTTCCTTGAACAGAAAGATATGTTACTCTCTTCCTTTGTTTCGTAAGTTTATTTTCCTTGTGTTTTTTGTTCTTAAACTCAGTACTTAGATGCTTTACTAAGTATGTGGTTTTTGCTGCCCCAAGATCCCTTCAGCTGCTGCTTCTAATACCATAATTTTCCTTCATGATGCACCCCTTCTGCACCATCAGATTCTGTGCTTTGAATAGGGCCAACTCCACTGACAACCTATATGTATGATACTGGACATGGGGTAAGTTCCTTTTGTAAAACTGATTGGCACTTGACACATCTAAAACTGATGTAACTTAATTCTGCAACTTTAATAGGAAAAGAATCACACTTTCTACTCTGCTTTCTAAGAGAGAAGGATGTTTGCCAAGGACTTCACAGCCATCTTCCCACCAGAAGGAAATAGCCTTTCTGGGAATAGAACTGGTAGAGAAGAATGCAGCTAAGAGACAGGAGGAAACAAACAACTTAGACCCAGAAAAAAACAGTTTAAAACACGCCCAAATTTAATTCTTCCCCTGGACTCTTCAACTATGGTAGTAACCAAGTCTGTCCTAGCTTAAGTCCTTTTAAGTTGGCTTATATCAAAAAGAACAATTATCTTGGTAGAAGTCATTAGGAAAGTTTAATGACTCAATCCCTTGAAATGAAGAGAAGATTGATTAATTTTATGATATTATAATCATTCTGTTATGTAATAATTAATTCAGTGAATGTAATATAATCAATTTTTTTGTGTGATGTAAGCCCCTCATATACATACTTTATATTACAGCAAGCATTAACACAATCAACACATTTTACAGAGGAGTGAATAACTTCCAAAGTCAAGTCCCTCATCTAGATCTACAGAGAAAAGCAGTGTTATAATTTTTGTTTGTTGGACTCTAGAGTCTGTGTTTTTTCATTACGCCTGCGGAAAACGAAATATAGTATAACTTCTCTACTAGCATAAAATAAACATGAACAATATGCAATCAAAAACTCAGTTGTGTAACTGCACAAATACTTCTCTCCCATCCCTATATCTTCTTAATTTCTTGCTGAAGCAGCATTTTATATATTTTTTGAGCGTTCATTATAGAAAGGCTTCCAGGTGATTTAAAAATAGAAGTCTCATGGCACCCCGAGAAAGATGATATGCTGTAGGTTTACATGAAGAAGGTCATAGCCAAACTAAGACATAAGATAAATAAGTCCCTTCATTGAAACTAGGAAAAAAAATAGTTGTCAAGGGATGAGCACAAATGTAGATGATTACTTTCCAGTGGAACATGGAATTTCTGCATCACTGGGAAGAATTTTTTTTTTCTTTTTTTTTAACACTGTAGCTGTATTTGAAGGGTATTAGATACTGTAGCTGAAGTGGCATAATTTTTAAGCATACTGGGGTTTGTGGCACATGTAATACAACATAGTTTGGGAAGCAGCTTCCCAGTATGTATGAGGTATATCAGGCTAATTCTAGTATAACTTGGATTTCGCATACATTTTCCAGGGCTATTGTGCCTTTTCTGCTTTTCTGTTTCCTCAAATGACATGAAATTGCCTTAATGAGGCTAATTAAAAAAGTGGAAACTGAGTATGCCCAAGTGTCTGAAAATTTGGGGTCATATTTGGGAGGCTTTTAAGTAGTGTAGTATTTTAGTTAAGGAAAGTAAACGTTTTTCATGAATGTGCAGATTATGTATCATTTCTCTTAGTATTTGGCTCATGGGCTTTCTCCGAGGCATAATATCCTACTATCCAAGACCAGCACCCTCAGGAGAATAATTGAATTTGAATATAATTAGAACAGTTCACAGCTTAGGAAACACTAGGGAGGAAATGATGACCCAGGAAGCTGACTTGAACTGGTAATGCCTTTAGGAAGCAAACACCGAGGCTGAAGCCTTATTCTGTACAGTTACTGTTAAGAAAGTTGTCAGAAGAAACACATCTGCCTTTTTTTCCAGGTGAACAGCTGTGAGTTGTCCAGCATGATAGTGCTTATTTTCTTGGGTAAGTGAATGGTGCCTCTGGTTTATCTGAATTATTCATAATACTAATTCTTTTTAAACTGAACACTATCACACTTAAGCTTAACAGGAGTTTATAATATGAAGTACCAAGTAAATTACAAATTTATGCTTTACCATGGTTTATTCCTCTTGCAAAAATGTACGCTCACTTTTACTCATTTATTTCTAACTCTATGGATAATGCAGAATATGATAATTGCATTAATCTCTCAGCTTGTTTCTGTCTTATTGTATAAAGTAACCCAATGACTTTGAGTTATTTATTAGGATTGATGGAATTCACACATGTGTTAGAACCTTTTAGAAATAAAACCTTCCAGTATCTTTTTACAAGTTATAAGATGAAAAATTTCAAACTATTATCTATTTTATTTATTTTGCTTTGAAATTAATAAAAATAAGGTTAATTTAAACCATTCAGTTTACCTACAGTGTTAATATTTACTAACTAGAAGTAATTTAGTGAAATAAAACAAATTAACACCATATCAAAATGCTTCATATTTTGATTAATTTTTATGATCTAGAACTCAAGTGTGGACTTACTTCTCATGTATGGGATCCGATGAATGTATTATAAGATGTTGATGAAAAATAATTTATTTTTATTTAATGCAGAACCCATGGAAATGTATTTGCTAGATGTGTGACTGGAGAATATTTTATAGCTTCTTTAGCATTTGGTAGAATCTATAAACTGAATTCAGAAAAGGAATAATTGTAATTGTAGCTAGATAGTAATTTTAAAAATATGACATTTTACCTTTAAACTAATATACACTTGATGAATAAAGGCATACTTGTGGGCAGGAAAGCAAAGTTTACTTTAAATTGTATTGAACATAAAAGGAGAGTCATATCAAGTCAAGGAAACAAGCTAAGAAGGAGAGAAATCCCTTATATATTTTCAGTTTTTCTTTGGTTTAAGTAATAGTCTTCCATTGTTCCAGAATTTTGCTTTTTGTAATTATTCCTAAAATATTTTCTTATTTTTATAAAGATTGTTAATATTTCTAAAGTTCTTTTTTTGTTGTAAAGAGAAATATAGGAAACTATAATTTTTATAGATCAGGCAGCAACATAATGAAGCTCACAAAATACATTACAGACTCATTATGACCTCAGTTGAAAAGGCAATGGCCTCTTATTTTCATCTTTTACTTCTAAATTAACTTGACGCCAGGTTGCATGAAGGAGGGAAATAATTTCTTAACATTGTTAGAACTAAAATTATACTATTTGATAGGTTGTACCAACATTTCCCATATTATATTTTTTAGAATGCTTGTTTGACATTAAATAGGTCTTATAATGAGGAAAATGTCTGTTGGCAAAGAAATGTGGAAAACAATGAATTTTAAAAACTCAGACCATTTAATAGGATAATGAGTCCTATACGTCTTTAAAAGAGTGATATAATTTGCAGCATTATCCAAAAATAGAAGTTATTTTTCATTAAGCATTACAGGAAAATTCTTGAAAAATCCTAGGTTAAATATAAAACCACAAATCATAGTCAGGAATGAATAAGGCAGATTTTGGAAAGGTAAAGTTATATTTCTGATTCTTGTGGACCAAATCATTGAGGTGGTTTTCTTAGCTGAGTCAATATTTTGTCTGAGTAGAAGGTGTGGAAAATCCTATAAAATAATCTATTAAGTAGCTTGTTCAACCAAAAACTGAAAATGTGTAAGGAAGTAAAACATAATTGGGGAAGATAACATGTAGTATTTCCAAGTGATTATTACTCTGAAGTACTGATGAAATTTTGATATATCCAGGAAATTATCACTTATAAGATTCTTGAGGGGGCTTTTCACAAGATATAATGATTAATGGCATTAATAACCATTTTCTTATAAGTTGAGTTTATGACTTCAAATTCCTATTTCTGGGTCTTTGGAAAACTGGATTTGACCAAGTAACTTTGGGCTAGGATCAAAAGGGTCGTCTTTTTCTTTCTCTGGGCTTGCCAACTAAAGAGTACAAGGGCTTGGCTAGATGTGGTTGTCCATGAACACATGAGAAAACAGAAAGCTGATATGTCCATTTCCACTCCAGCCCTCAGCAAGGAAAATGTTACCAAGCTACACCCATGGGCCTAATCTCCAAGTGCAGTGACCCAGCAAGTAGTACATATGGTCCAATCAGTTGTCTTGGATTCTTCTTATAAGATGAGATTTGGAAAGAGGTAAGATTTAAAAAAAAAAAGATTTCAAGGCCTTACTTGAAGCCGATCACTCTATATTGTCACAGGTGATTCATGATTAACAACAGCGTTTAAAAATTCAAATAATTTCAGTCTTATTTAGTTATAGCTTGACTCTCTTGATGACAGTTACTGTAACTGTCTCTGTAACACAACTGCAATCCCCATTTTTTTTCTATTAATTGATTTGGCTAGTGTCAGTTCATATGTTTGCAGAATCAATTTGACTAACTTGTGTAACACATTAACATTGCTATTTTCTTGATTGTTTTTGGAAAATTTGCTGTATTTCTCCTCTAGCAAAAGTAACTTGTAAATATCTGGAAGGTATTATTTTTTTAGATGTTATCCGTTATTTATACATGTCTTATATATAAACAACTAATAAGTTGGGTATACGTCAGTATTCATTTATTGAATACCTATACTGCATAATTGTGTTTGATGACAAAATACAGTTATAAATTATCCTTAATGTCTGTGGGTGAAGCTGTACAATCCAGTGGTGGAAACAAGCACATGAATATATACACTACGGAACAGTAAATTCTGTAATTGGGGGATCCCTACAGTTCTAGTAAGTGGATGAAAGACGTCAAATTCATTTTGGGTGTGGAAAAAGGGGAGGATAGAATTCAAGTAAAGTTTCCAGAAAATAGCCAATAATTGTGTTCAGTTTTAAACAACAAAAAGGGTTATTCCGGAAGAAAAAGAAAGAAAATGCTCATCAGGAACCAGACAGTATGTACACAGAGGTGTAAGACAACATGGATCATTTGGGAAATGATAAATGCTTGAGGTCTTCCAGATTGCACATGGTGAGGAATATGAGAGCCCTGATATGAGAAATCATTTAAAGGATATAAACAGAAAAATGGCAAGACTAGAATAGTGCATTAGGTAGATTAGGGGTTATACAGAGCCTATCTGAATAAGGTTCTGAATAAGATTCAAACTGGAGGTAGACTGACTAATAAGTTAAACAAATGCTCAAAGTGAAAGTCAACAAATTTAGCAAGAATGAATATGGGAGAGTGAAGTTGAGGATGGAAAATAGTCCACCACAAAACCAAGATTTCTAGTTTTGGTGCTTATGTTAATTGTGGCATTATGGATGAAGTAGAGTGGACCACAGTGGAACAATGATGATGAAGACCCTGTGAAAGTGTTTCTGAAACATTCAGGTAGAGACAACAATTACGTACCTATGACTGGAACACTGGAAATACTGAGATTGAATTATACATTTGAGAATCATCAGACTTTAGTTCAAACCATAAAAGTACATAGAATTTTCTGCAGAGAATGTATAAAATGAAAATAGAAGAGGTCTGAGAAGAGAACCTAAGCTAAAATTATACTTTGCTAGAAAAGTAAAATGATCCTGGGAAGCATTTTAGCTGTGGTCAGAAAATACAAAGTGGATAAATATCAAGAGAACAAGAAGGGAGGACTGGCAAAGGAAAAGTTTCAAAAACAAAAAGTCAACAAAATGCTCAATGGCGAGATAAAGTTTAAAACCATTAAGTTAGACTTTAAAGGGGTAGAGACATTTTTAAGAGCAGTTTTAATGGAACAATAGTAATAAAAATAATTTATAATTGAAGAATAGATGATGAGAAGTCAAAATGAGCAAATTTAAAGTAATTCATTTAAGAATCTATAGAAAGAAGTATAGATCTACAGCTAGAGAGGAGGTTAAGGTTATTCCCACCATCAATAATTTCACTACATGTTGTTTTCCATAATTCTGCTCCTTATCATGAATAACTTATATTCGAAGAAAATGGATGCCAAACTTATATTACAAACTTGTTTTTGTTGTTGTTGTTATTCAAGCTTTGGGGCTAAGCTTGGAAAATGAATACACTTCCCAAACCAATAATTGCAGATATTTAAGAGAGCAATGCCTACATGATGCAAATGGATGTAAACATGCTTGGAGAATAATGGAAGATGCCTGCAATGATTCAGGTAAACAAGTTGCTAAGAATACACTTAAATGATTTATTTTTACTAAGATAAAAATAGGATTTGATATTTCGTCATTATCCTAAGAACTAAGTTTTTCCCTAAGTATCTTTCTCAGTCTTGACCTCCAATCGATTCACTTTTAATCATGTATTAGCAAATTTAATTACAAAAGGATTTTCTTAATTACTAAAGTGCTGTAATTACTGATGCTGAGGGCAGCATTATTCAAGATTTCAGATTATTTTCTTACCTTTCACGCCATGTATAATGCTACAATTTTACGCATTCTTCTCAGAACCATGGCAGTATTTTTTTCAAATAAAAGGTTATTTTGATTATATATGTCAATGATAAAATAGAAAAAATAAGATTTGTTATAATAATTGTGTATTTGTCCATGTATAATGTACATTTTATATTCTTGAAACATATATACAGTATTTTCAATTCTATGTCAAGAACAAGTAAAGCTATAGTTTTGTTTTTAGCTTGTGCTACCTTCCATACATTTGTGGGGAGGTTCAAGAGTTGAGAATGTGAATAGTGGAGAGTGACTGCTATTTTCTTTTTTCTTTTTTTTCTTTCTTCTTTTTTTTTTCCAGACAGAGTATAGCTCCGTTGCCAGGCTGGAGCTTGGCTCATTGCAACCTCCGCCTCTCGGGTTCAAACAATTCTTTTTCCTGCCTCAGCCTCCAGAGTAGCTGGGACTATAGGTGCGCGCCACCACATAGTAATTTTTGTATTTTTAGTAGAGACAGGGTTTTACCATCTTGGCCAGGATGGTCTCAATTTCTTGGCCTCATGATCTGCCCGCCTCGGCCTCCCAGAGTACTGGGATTACAGGTGTGCGCCACTGTGCCCGGCCTGTATTTCCTTAAAAAGAAAAAATATATATATTTTGAATATTCAAGTAGCTAAATAAGCATTGAATGAGAGCATTATAGTAAGACTCCTTTCACTAAAAGTAAATAGAATAAACTCTATAGTAGAACATAGTCAATTTATACAGTAGAACATTGTATAATCTATTTATTTTGATGATTAAACTTCTTGCTGCATTTTATAAGGCTATTTAAAATATGCAGTCAAAATATTATATTTAGGTGTCACAAATAGTAACTTATTTATTAATTTCAGTTTACAAATAGCAAGTCATTTGCAGTAAATTGCAATAATATTTGCATAATTATTTTATGTATGAAGCTGAAATATACATATTCTCAAATGTACAAATGAAATAAACTCAAGTATTTTTATTCAGAATAATTAAAAGAAAATGTTCAGGTAGAGGAATATATATTTTTAAATTAATGCAGAAAAAGAAATATTGGTAATTATGAAAGACTTATTCAATAATATTTGTTGAGTGTTATGTGCCAGGACCACATAATTTTTAATGATAAATTTAAAGCCGCCTGCACTCCTCTTACTATAGTCTTACAATGACATGAAAATGAAAGATCAGATTATGACAAAATAGCTAATAAAATAGATAAGCTGATAAAACACTAAGATTAGAGAGCATTCTGGTCACCTCGTGTAAGAGTAGCCTTATTTTTACTGAAAAGCAAGAAATGATGTTCTAAGTAGGAAAAAGCTATTTCGAAATGCAGCAAGTTTTAATATAGAAAGTACATTATGGAAAATATTCAATGAAAATACATGTTTTTTTAAAAAAGTCACTTATATGGGCATCCTGCAGCAACCCCAGATAATCTTACCATATTAATTAATTATTCAGATTAATATGTTAAAAGTCCTTTGGGGAGGAAGAGTCCAAAATTATAATAAGATTTGTATCTATAGTGTTATGTGTTTGATTGTGAGATCCAGGTGACCCCTGCAAGATGAAGAATTCATCATACTGTAACCTGAGTATCCAGTACTTAGTGGAAAGCAATTTCCGATTTAAAGAGTGTCTTTGCACTAATGACTTCTATTGTACTGTGAACAAACTGCTTGGAAAAGAATGTGTCAATAAATCAGGTAATATTTTATTATAAGAAATGTTTATAGTCATGAAAAAGCAAAAATTTCAAAATTAACCACATCTATGTAATCTGATTAATTTTTTTGTAATTTGATTAATTATTTTCAGAGCTTTATTCTTTTTAAAATTTTGTTGGTACATAGTAGGTGTATATATTTGAAGGGTACATGAGGTGTTTTGATACAGTTCTTGATGTACCTTGGGGTTCTGTGAACCATAGACCTCAGCAAGTGCATGACGTATTTCTTTCATTGCTAACCAAAATTCTAAGCTTCATTCGAGTCATTAGAATTATAGATTCACTCACTCAATTCATATATTTGTGAAGTTTATTGTGGCTTTGCATAACACCTAGATGATAGAAGACAAATAATACATTATCTTTTTTGTTAAGGAACTCCAAGTCTCCTGGGAGAAATAAAAATGTAACTAATTGCTAGAGTTGTACTTGCCTTTGCATAGGGACATTTAATCAGGCTAATACACTGGAGTAGTGGTGATCAGCTAGCCTGCATGTACCTTTAAGGGTACAACAAAGATATTCCAAGAGATGTGCACGATCAAGCAGTTCTAAAGTGAACAGTGTCCAGTCTTTAATGTCCCTATATACTCCGAAAAGTAATCAACAGAGGAATGCACCTGTTATCACAGAGTCCTCAATTCTTCTTTCACAATCAACCTTCTCTCACTTTATAAGAGGTAGAGTTACCTCTCATCTACATGGAATGGTCTCATCGTCCAACCCATTCAGTCATCCATGGTGGGCTCATTGAACAAATTTCTGTTCCATGATTTTGCGTTTTCCAGAATATCAACAAATGAAGTTATGTAACATGTAGCCATTTTAATTCAGTTTATTTTATTTAACATAATACATTAGAGATTAATTTTTATCATGTGTAAGTTTATTTTTCTTGATGAGTAGTATTTCATTGTATGAGTGTATAATAGATTGGTTATCCATTCATTATTGAAAGTAAATTGCATTATTTCCAGGTTTTCAGGGATTAAAAATAAGGCTGCTATAAATATTCACATACAAGATTCAGACAAACAAAAGTTTTATTTCACTTACGAAATTGTGGGGTCATATGATAAGTACACGCTTAACGTTACAAAAAGCTTCTAAACTGTAATTCAGATTTAGTGTAACCATCAGTGTATAAAAGTTCCAGCTGCTTCATATTCCCAGCAGCACATATTTTTTTTTGCCATTCTAATATATATTTAGTGATACCACATTGTGGGTTTAATTTGCACTTAATTATAATGTGGAGCATATTTTGATGTGCTGTGTGCCATCTATCTATCTTATTTGGTAAAGTATTTCTTCAAACTTTTGCCCATTTTTAAATTGGTGTTTGTTTATTGAGTTTTGAGAGCTGTTTCTGTATGAATAGATATTTTTTTATCAGAATATGTGTTTTGTATTTTTTTTAGTCTTGTCATTTAAGAGTGTCTTAAAAAAACAGAATTTAAAAAATTTTGGTGAAATTCAGTTTATCATCTTTTCTTTCATAGATCATACTTTTGATGTTTCATCTAATAGATATTTAATTCACATTAACAAAGATTTTCTCATATAATCTAGAAATGATGTAGTTTTAGGTTTTATATTTAGGCCTATGTTATATTATGAGTTAATTTTTGTATATAGTACAAGATATAAGTCAGATTTTCTTCCATGCAGATATCTAATTGTTCCACCCACATATGTGGAAAATAATATCAATTTTACTTTCCTCAAAAGTCATTTGGCCACATATTAATGGCTCTATTTCTAGACTTTCTATTCTTTTTCATTGAGTTAATTCTCTACTTTTGCAAATATTCTACAGTCTTACTATAGCTTCACAGAAAGTCTTGAAATCAAGTAGTATGATTCCTTTAACTGTTATTTTAAAAATAATTTTGGCTATTCTAGCTCTTTGTCTTTAATTTAATTTAATTTAATTTTAGTTGTTGCTGTAGTTGCTGTTTTTGAAACAGCGTCTTGTTCTGCCACCCAGGCTGGAGCACAGTGACCCAGTCTTGACTCAGTGCAGCCTCTACCTCCTGGGTTCAAGCGATTCTCCTGCCAAAGCTTCCCAAGTAGTTGGGATTACAGGCATATGCCACCACACCAGCTAATTTTTGTATTTTTAGTAGAAACAGGTTTTCGCCATGTTGACCAGGGTGGTCTCCCAACTTCTGGGCTCAATTGATCTGCCTGCCTCAGCTTCCAAAAGTGTTGGAATGACAGGTGTGAGCCACCGGGCTGGACCACTTCTTTGTCTTCCCATAAAAATTTTAGAATCAGCTTGTCAGTGTCTGCAAAGAATCCTGCTGACATTTTGACTGGACTTACCTTGAAATTATAAACCGATTTACTATGTCAAGTGTTCAGGTTTATTAACATGATATATTTATTCATTTATTTATAAGTTCATTGATTTAGTTCATCAATATTTGATGGTTTTCAGTATATAGTTCTTGCACAACTTTTTAGGCTTCTACAAACACACCTCAGCTTTTGGTGCTGTTGTAAATGGTAATTTGTTTTACATCTTAACTTTCTATTGATTATAGTGATTATATAGAAATACAATTGATTTTTCTGTATGGAACTTATAGCCTATGACTTGTTAAATGCAATTATTCTATCTTTTATTTGTAGAATCTGCAGGAAATTCTATATAAGTAGTCTTGTCATCTGTAATAGAGTTTCATCTTCCCCTTTCCAATTTGTAGTCTTTCATTAATTTTTCCCTGCTTTATTACCCTAACTAGAGCTTTCAATATAATAGTCAATAGAATTGTTGAAAGTGGACATCTTGCCTTTTCACCTGTCTTAGGAGAAAGTCATTCAGTTTTTTACCATGAAGAGTGTGTTTGTGTGTGTGTTCTTTGCAGGTTCTCTTTATCAAGTGGAGGAAATTCCTTTATATTTCTGGTTTTCTTCATTTTTAAAATCATAAATGCATAAAAATAAATGAATGCTGAATTCTGCAAATTTTTTGCCTCTATTACTATTAATTACTTCAAACATTTATCTTTTCTTTTTGTTGGGGGTACTCCAATTTTTCTGGCTATTTTAAAATATATAGTAAATTAGTGTTAACTGTAGTCTCCCTACTGTACTATCAAGTACTAGAAATTATTCCTTCTATGTTAATGTATATTTGTACCCATTAACCAACTTCTCTCCATTTCTCCTCCCTCATGTCCTGCCAAGCCTGATCACATTTTTTTCCTTTAGTTTTTTATATGACGAAATTCATTATTTGATTTTTTACTGTTGTTCCAGCCCTTCATTTCAAGGCTAAATTCTATTCAATCATGGTATATTATTATTTTTGTATTTCTGGATTCAACTGCTAACATTTTGTTTAAAAAAACTATGTTCATAAAGTATATTGGCATGTTGATTTGTTTTCTTATAATGTCTTTGTCTGGTTTGGTATCTAAGTTATGCTGGCCTTGTAAAATCATTTGGAAAGTATTTCCTCCTCTCCAATATTCTGGAAAAGCACAAAAATAATTGATGTTATTCCTTCCTTAAATGATTGATTTCATTAACCAGTAAAGATATCTGGGCCATGCTTCATTAAAAAGGTTTGAAAATATAAATTCAATGTGTTAACTTGTTGTAAGACTATTCTTGTTATCTGTTTCTTCATGAGTGACCTTTGGTAGTTTGTATCTTCCATTTGCTGAATTTATGTTGGATTTTTATCCTTAAAGTTTTCAGTTTACTGTTTCTTTTTGGTTTCTATCTCTCTACAAAGTTGCTCCTAGTATTTCCTAATTGCCCTTTTTAATGTCTGTAGTAGTTGCAGTGATGTCCTTTTTATGTTTAGATATCGATAATTTGTATAATTTGTGTCCTTTTAGTTTTACTATTCATTGTTTCTTTATGTGTATGTCTGATTTGATTTTAAGGTGTTTCCCATTTTCTTGCTTCCTAACATAAAACCTTGAACCACTGATTTGAGATTTTATTCTTTCCTCATATAAGCATTTAATACTATGAATGTCCTTCCAAGTACTGATTCAGCTATAGCCACACATTTTGATACGTTGTTTTAATTTATATTTATGTCAAAATATTTTCTCCTTTCCTTTGTGACTTCCTCTTTGTTATGATTTATTTTATTATTATTATTATAGTATTTTGAGGCAGAGTCTCTCTCTGTCACCCAGGCTGGAGTGCAGTGGAGTAATCTCAGCTCACTGCAACCTCCTTCCCCTATGTTCAACCTATTCCACTGCCTCAGCCCCCTGAGTAGGTGGGATTACAGATGCATGCCACCACACCTGGCTGATATTTGTATGTTTAGTAGAGACATGATTTTGCCATGTTGTCCAGGCTGGTCTTGAACTCCTGACCTCAGGTGATCTGCCAACATCGGCCTTCCAAAGTGCTGGGATAACAGGCATGAGCCACCGTGCCCAGACAGAAGGTTGTTTAATTTCCTAATATCTGAGATTTCTCAGATATCTTCATTATTGATTTCTAGTTTCATTTCAGTATCATCACATAACATATTTTGTATTATCTCAATTCTTAATTAAAATAATAATTGCCAGATATCACCTGTACAATGTGATACATGCTATACACATGATAAGGATACACACATACACACATGCACAGACAAAGTACTAGAAGCCATAGAGTAAAAAACAATGGTGACTCAGAAGACTTCACAGAATTGTCAGACTTCGGCCTTTTAGGGTAAGTTGGTTTCATTAGGGAGGCAAAACAAAATGGATGTTTTAAGCAGAAGAAATAGAATGAAGTGGGGAGCATTTGGGGAGCAAGAATTCCCTTGTTAAGCTGGATAATAGAATGGAAAAGTATTTCATAACACTGGAAAGAAACCAGATATTTATGAAAAGGAGGAAAGCTGAGCTTACATAACTTTCTAAAGAGATTAGACTTTAAACCGTTGTTATGAGGAGCTATTACATATTTTAAATAGAGGAATGTACCATCAGTTTCTCATAAGATATC